TGTGGAAATCAGTTTGGAGATTCCTCAGCAAACTAGGTCTAGAGGTCCCATTCAACTCAGCTATTCTCCCAGATTTTTAAACAGTAGTTCCACTGATTAGGAAAGAATATTCTTAACCTGAAACTACAATGGATAATAAAGAATTCATTACATCAACTTTTTTTTTGTTGGTTTTTTTTTGGTTTTTTTTCCGATATCGAGAATTGAACTCACAACATTGCGCTTGCCAGGCAGGCGCTGTGCCGCTAAGCTAAATCGCCAGCCCCTTACATCAACTTTTTTTAAACAAAGAGGTTACTATTATTTTTTTATGAGGAGATGTGGGAATTAACTTGAAATTGTATAAAATACTTGTTTGGTCTAAACTACTCTAGAATTAGAGTAGTTTCTGGACTCCATGGCACACATTCACAAGCTGTGTCTTTCTAGAGTATTTACTTAGGTTGCATATAACAACCTTGCAAATATAGTAGCACAATAAAGATTAGGACTGCCATAGTTTAAATAGAATTTCACACATTCTAAAATAAAAGCTTTAATAAAGCTAGTTCTCAAATACTGATAATAATCTAGGTCAGGGCTGCAATCACCTACTCTCTTAGTTTACAAGAGGCAAAGCCTCATGCCTTGATAACATGCAGGAAATATTGTGATATTTTTCACTCATTGTTTTTTCTTTTGTGCAGTACTAGGGATCAAACTAAGGGATTCACAAGTGCAAGGCAGGTACTCTATCACCAAGCCACACCCCCAGCCCACGATTTTTAATGTAACTCATTCCTGTAGAATCCTGTTCTCCTTACAGCCTGAACTGGAGATGAGTTGCTGATTGGCTCAGGCATATGTGGTACATACTCCCAAAGGGTAAAAAGGTTTACTACTAACGCGTTCCTAAAAGGTTGAGTTGCATTTCTGTTTGCCTTTGGAGTAAGTAGCAGATAACCATTAACAGAAAATTTTTTCATAACCCAGGGGCTATGCTGGTCATTGATGTCAATCGGTGTTTGGAGGAACAAAAGTCAGATGATATTTTGTCTGTACTGAAGTCTTATGCTTCTAATGCACAAAACGTTATCCCTGAATGTGCTGGCCGGTACTATGAGGCACTGGTGAAAGCAAAAGAAATCAAATCTGAAAAAGGTAAGCTTTGTCATGACTGAGCATGAACTAAAAATATCACTTAAAATAGGATGGCTCCCTTGTGTTATATTTTAATTTTAAAATAAGTAATATTTCCAGATGAGTACTTCTGAAATGCTTTTTTATCATCTGTGACAAAATTTTTAGATATTTCTTTTCCTGTGCTGTTAGGTTTTTTTGGTTTTTTTGTTTTTTCTTAGAAAGCTGTGATTAGCTCAGTGGCACTGCATAGGTCACTGCTAGCATCACAGAATTGAGAAAATATAGGATTTAAGGATATTTTGCCTACTCTGGATTATTCTTATAATCCCTGATATGAACATGCTTTACATTGATAATTTTTATCATTTATTCCTTTGAGAGACAAATGGTACATGATCATACAACACTGAGTAGAGAATGTTAAGTAGGGACAGATAAACAAAATGTGATATAACCATATAATAGAGTATTACTGACCACAAAGAATGAAGAACTGATACACACTACATCATGAATGAACTTTGAGAAGACTATGCTAAGCAAAAGAAGTCAGAACAGAGGGAGAGCTATCTGACTGCTCATCTGAAAAGAGATCCATTCTTCTTCCTAGGCAGAAACACTTTTCTTTTTCCCTACTTTAGTTGACCTTTCTGGTGTATATTTACCATTTTGTAAATTGAATACAATTGTCATCAAAGGTGATTCACTTAAGTGGAGGTCATTGGATTGCCTCTTTTTTTTTTTTTT